CTAGGAATAATAAACCTTTATAGAAAGCATGGTTTATTAAATGGAATATAGCCACATTGTAAGAAGATAATCCTATAGCAATTACCATCATACCTAATTGAGACATAGTAGAATAAGCTATAATTTTTTTAATATCTTGTTGAAATAATCCAATTAATGAACTAAATACCGTTGTTATAGCACCTAATCATAAACAAATTAATAATACTGTTGAACTATATTCAATTAAAGGAGATGAACGAATTAATAAATATACTCCAGCTGTAACCATAGTAGCTGCATGTATTAAAGCAGATACTGGCGTTGGACCCTCCATGGCCATAGGTAATCAAATATGAAGACCTACTTGAGAACTTTTCGCCATCGCTCCTATTAATAAACAAATTCCTATAATAGTCACAATATTTTCATTTATATAAGGAGCTAATGAAAATACAAGACTATAATCTAAATTTCCTAAAGATCATAGTATAACAAACATACCTATTGTTAAGAAACAATCCCCCACTCTATTAGTTAAAAAGGCTGACATAGAACTTTGATTTGCTGCTATTCTAGTAAATCAAAAACTTACCAGTAAATAAGAACATACTCCTACACCTTCTCATCCTACAAACATTAATAAATAGTTATTACCTGTTACTAATATAATCATCATAAAAGTAAACAAACTTAAATAACTAAAAAATCTTTGGTTGTGAGGATCATGACTCATATACCCAATAGAATAGAAATGTACTAATGAACTAATAATTAATACAGGTATTAACATGGATACTGTTAAACTATCAAATTGGAAATTTCATAATATATTAAATGATTCACTATCTAATCATTTAAATAAATTAATTGAAACAGGATTATTATTAAATCCTACTTCAAAAAAACTAATTATAGCTAAAATTGTTGTTGTTAGTACACATAAACAACCTAAAATACGGCTACCTGTTACACCAACTTTTCTACCGAAAAATCCTGATACTATGGATCCTAATAAAGGTAATATTATAATACTTAAATACATTATTTATATTCTATTGCAATACTTCCTCTTAATCTATAAAATGCCACTAATATAGCTAGACCTATTGCAGACTCTGCACCAGCTATTATTATTATATATACGGCATACGTTTGTCCTATTATATCATCCAAATTTATGGAACTTATTAATATTAAAAATGTTATAGATAATAACATTATTTCTATAGAAATAAGCATTAATATAATATTTTTTCTATTAAATACGAATCCTAAGATTCCAATTAAAAAAAGTACTAAAGTTAAACTCATTTTTTTTTTTATTTTTATTATCTCAAATTATTCAGATGACGATCTATGTATAATACTAATTTATTAAATTGATATATCGCCGTGAGTATAATTATACATGGACAATTATACCAAGGGCATTATAGACTCGAACTATAATTTCGATGTCCGTAGCATCTTGTTTTACCATTAAACTAATTCCCTTTATTAACTTCTCTACCTAAGTAGCTAATAGTTAAAGTTTGCGTAACGAAATACGCAGGCATTACTGCTGGCTGCTGACATGCATAACTAGCCCTCCGAAGGAGTGTTACTTCGTAGTAAAACCACCACCGAATAAAGCTAGTGCTATGCGAAGCAGCATAGCATAATTAAATTATATAACATAAAGTAATAATAAAGCCATCATTAAAGCAAATAAGGCTGTAGCCTCTGAGAAAGCAAACCCTAAAATAGAGTATGAAAATAATTGGGCTTTTAAAGAAGGATTTCTAGCTACCCCTATTATTAAACATCCGAAAACTACACCTATACCTACTCCTGCTCCAGCTAATCCAACTGTAGCAAGTCCTGCACCTATTACTTTTGAAGATTCTAATAACATACTATACTATATCAATGTCTAAATACCCGAACTTTCAATGCTGGTTTCGTTAG